CAAGTTCTCAACTCTTTCTTAAAAGCAGCAGCCTGCCTGGAGGAGCACTGGAATGCAGCCAAGCGCTATGACCCTGCACCCTGCAACGCTGTCTACACACTGGAAGTCTGGGCATTTGCACAACATTCCATCATGACAGTTTTGTTCTCTGAACACAATAGACACACAGATAAGCTCAGATGAAACCTCTGGAAGAAAGGAAGCTTGACTCCTGTCCCTGTCACATTTAGTTAATGATAAAGGAGGAGAAAGATCTTCCCAGATAGCAGCTTCCTGGTTGTCTACACTGACCTGGGGAGAGTGGAGTGCAGCTTTACAAGACCCAAGATGCAAGTGCAATTGAGGGCACTGTTAACAAATACCACAGGAGACATCACAATGAAATCAAAAAAGTTCAAGAAGGTTCACTAATGCAGGTGGGACATATACTAATTCAGTACTCAGGTTTTTTTGTTTTTTGTTTTTTGTTTTTTTTTAAGCCATAGCAATCCCTTACTTATCAAAACATCACACTGCATATTTTTCTAAGAGGACATTTCAGGTCACTCTTTGAGTAAGAGAGCTGTCTACTAACTCTGCCAACAATTAAAAAAAAATTTTTTTTCCGAACAGGAAAAGGTTCACTGTGCAGGGCTTGCTACATAAATTCCTGTTTTTCACACAGCCAGCAGGACATTAAAGAAGCTATGATTTCTATGGGGCGGGGTTTGGAAAGATGAATCTTGTAAAAATATGTGCTGCTATTACTGATGTTGTGTCTGTTCTTCTATACTGGACAAGAGTGTTATTCACACATGGGACTGTGGCAGAACCATCTGAGACTGCTGGACTCTGAGACACTTTGCTTTTGAACTCCCAACAATTCTTACCTGAAGAAAAAGGCAATGGGTGAGGACCAAGACTCATGTACTACCAATCACACAAATCCTGTGTTTCTGCATGATACTATCAGAGAAAGAGCCAATATTCAATAAACGTGTGCTGCTGACATCCCCAAAACATTAGAGAGGCATGATGTCTTACATACACGCCTCTTATGTATCATTCATGTAGCAGTTAGTGCCAAACCACATTGGAACCTATACTGTTCTAGGAGTAGAGAAGGACACAAGAAGGATCAGACAGAGTCTGCCCTCTGTAAGTTTTATGACCTAAGAAGAGATCAAATGACACACATAGGACTGTCCAGGATCATTGACCTTTTTTACTCCAAAGCTGTTACCCCCACACACAGCTTCTGTCTCAGCCCAAATATCCTTTTCTTCTGAAAGCATTTCTTGATAATCCATACATCCAGCAGCTCTGTTAACACAGGACACCTTGCTTATCCAGTTTATGCCTCTGCTATGTGTGGCCCAGGGCATCTGGCTTCCCATGCACTGTGAACTGTTCATGTGAACACAGGAGCCTTGTCTGTCTTCCTGTGCCCGATCTCCTCACAGCACCATCACCAAGTAGGCGCTCAAGCATCTGCTGGACAGACTCATAGCTCCTACACTGACAAGGCTTTGAGAAGATTTAATAAAATAATACGCATAAAATGTTTGCTTCAATCAAAATTAGTGATGTTATTGTTATCACTACCAGGATAATGGTATCTACACAGAATAATCTGTTTTGCAGACTTATCTATATTATAAATGTTGGTCTCATTTCCTTATAATCATACCTTCTACTTTTCCCACTAACATGAGGCTTTTATGTTCTTTACTTGAAAGACTGACTGGTCTGGGAGAAAAGCTATGGTATTTTCTTTACCCACCAGGTACTGTCTCCGTCGATGTATTTGCTGACCAGTGGCACGAGAATCCTCAAGTATCCTTAAGGCACTGCTACTGCACCTCACATGCTTGCTGGTACTCTGGACACGGGCAGCATGTGTGAAAAAGTAGCAGCAGGTATCATAGCAGGCTTTTCATGGTCTCTGTCAGAGACTCCATGGAGGTCGTTCTGAGTGAACACCACTGTGCTGTTCTACCACCCAGCCAAAGGAGCTAGGCACTGAGGGGGACCTCCAGAGACTCCCTGAGAACACAGGACAAAATCATTTTACACATGTCCTGCCCAAGGTGCTCTTAACCCTAACCTAAAGCCAGCCATTGAAGTTCAGGAGGCAATCTTTACAAATTTTATTTACTTTGATTCATTGGTATTTATTAATTTATGCAGTACTAGGTACTGAACTCAGTCAGAACTTGCCCATGCCAGCAGATGCTCTATCACTGAGCTACATCCTCCTGCACCTAGTTTAAAAATTTTAACTCATTCTTCTAAAATTCATATTCAAGAATGTGTTATATTAATGTATAAAATATATTTGAATTATATAAATAAATCTTGTGTCAAAGGGTATATGTGCTTTTTTAAAAAACCATTTAGAGACTGCTAGTGTATTATAATAGACTTCTAGGAGCCTGACACTCCAACTAAGACCAAGAGAGCAGAACCAGCCTTGAGTGGAGTCTAGAATTTCTCTGCACCTTCTATCATCCCCACCCCACCTCCAAGGCCTGGTTTTGAAGGGCGTGGTCTTGCCTTCTATTTGTGGCTCTTTGCTCCTGCCATTGAGAGCTGAATTGAACCTGATCTTCCCAGACACTTCTCTTCACCCTGGGCTTCTCTGATCCCAGGTTCCCTGAGTCTTGCCCTTTCACCAAAGCTACCAGCTCAGATGCCTATATGGAGACTACCACCTGCCAGCCAGGGTATTACGACTGGTGCTCTATTCCACATTTCTCCTTGGCAATTTTAAGAATATTCTGGTTTCTATTTTCAATCAAAAATATGACAAAACCATCAACTTAAGCAGAACACATCATGTTCATTACAGTCTGGCTTTCAAGCTTATGTAGCATAACATATGTTCTACTTTATAATTTACTGCTGTCAATTGATCTCATCCTTGGAACAACCCTATGAAGCAGGTATTATTGACCCCACTTTAGTAATGGGGAAACTGAGGCACGAAGAAAAGTTTATTTT